AACTGGCGCTATCTGGGAGGGGCGCTAACTTTATCGGAAGTCGCCAGCGACACTGATACAGTGATCAGTAAAAAATCGCTTCACTGATCAGTGACACTGGTGACAGGGCAGTGAAGGGGTTAACTGGAGGGGGGGGGGGGATCAGGGGGTTAAATGTGTCCTAGGTGTGTTCTAACTGTAAATGTGTAGTGTTTTACTCACTTTTACTGTGTCTTCTTCTCTGTCTGTAACGGAATGTGTCCAGGCAGAGAAGAATGACATCATATCCTGCCCTGTGTAAATGTCAACACAGGACAGGATAGGACAGGGACCGATCATCTGATTTCAGCCAGAAATCACTGGCTGAAATCTAATGATTGATCCCTCCTGGATCGAATCGTGTCACCCGCGGGTCGGGCGGGAGCGCGTGCGGCGAAAACGTCGGGAGCGCGGAACCCGTTTTAAAAACGTGGTTTTGCGCTCCACTGCCACCCTGCAGACGTATATATACAGTGGCAGGGGGGCAAGTGGTTAAAGGGCTTTATTTCCTCACTACACGTCCTGACTACCTATCACAGTTTCGGATGCCCTGAAATGCCAGGATAGCACCAAACCCCACCCAAATGACCACTTTTTGGAAAGTAGACACCCCAAGGAATTTGATCAGAAGCATGGTGAGTATTTTGCAGATCTCATTTGTTGCCACAAGTTTTTGAAAATTGAAGAAAGAAAAAAACTGTTTTTCTTTTATTTTTTTTAAATTTCAAAACCTTGTGAGAAAAATTAGATCTGCAAAATACTCACCATGCCTCTTTTTAAATTCCTTGGGGTGTCTACTTTCCAAAAAGGGGTAGTTGGGGGGGGGGGGGGGGTTGGTGCTATCCTGGCATGTCAGGGCCTTCGAAACTGTGATAGGTAGAGAGGAAGTGAAATGAGGAAGTTAGCACCTTCAGGCTTTCAAAGTGGTCATTGGATTACAGGCTCCTATATGTGGCTAGGCTCCCAAAAAGTCTCACACATGTGGTACCCCCCCACTCGGTAGAAGTAGCAGAATGTATTTTGGGGTGTAATTCCACATATACCCATGGCTTGTGTGAGAAATATATCATTTAAATGACAACTTTGTGTAAAAAAAAAAAAAAAAGTTTTTGTCATTTTCCAAAAACTTGTGAAAAAAAATAAATCTTCCATCGACTCAATATGCCTCTCAACAGATAGCTTAGGGTGTCTACTTTCTGAAAAGGGGTCATTTGAGGGTGTTTGTACTATCCTGTTATTTTAGCACCTCAAGAAATGTGATGGGCAGTCAGAAAGTAAAAGCTGTGTAAATTCCATTATCTATACCATAGTTTGTAGATGCTATAACTTTCACACAAAGCAATAAATATACACTTATTGTGATTTTTTTAACCAAAAACATGTAGCAGAATACATTTTGGCTTAATTTATGATGACATTTAGTTTTTTTTGGATTTTTTTTATGACAGAAATGAGAAAATATTGTTTTTTTTTTAAAAAAATGTTTTTTCTCAAAACATTTTTTGTTTATAGTGCCAAAAATAAAAAGCACACAGGTGATCAAATACCACCAAAAGAAAGCTCTAACTGTGTGAAAAAGGACATACATTTCATTTATGTACTGTATTGCATGACTGCGCAATTATCAGTTAAACTAGTGCAGTGTATAGCAAAAAAATGATGTAAATTGCAGTATCTATACCATAGTTTGTAGATGCTATAACTTTCACACAAAGCAATCAATATACACTTATTGGGGGATTTTTTTTACCAAAAAACATGTAGCAGAATACATTTTGGCCTAAATTTATAACTAACTTTGAGTTTACTATATATTTGCTATAGCCGAAAATTAAAAATATCGTTTTTCTTCAAAATTTTGGTCTTTTTTTGTTTATAGCGCGAAAAATAAAAAGAACAGAGGTGATCAAATACCACCAAAAGAAAGCTCTATTTGTGTGAAAAAGAGGACATAAATTTCGTGTGTGGGTACAGCATTGCATGACCGCGCAATTATCAGTTGAATTAGTGCAGCGCTGAGTAGCAAAAAGAGGCCTGGTCATAAAGGGGGGTAAATCCTTTAGAGGGCAAGTGGTTAAAAGAAAAATACAATAACAGAGCTTTCAATGGTACAAACAGTTTTTTTATTAAAAAAACATATCTACATGTACATGTATTTTTCCAAATGACTCTGTCCAGGCATCTTGGAATTCCACTATCTGTTTTCAGTTTTGCTTTCTTTGCTGTGCTCATTTTTTAGTGTTCAACACTTGGAGTCTAGAAAAACACAAAAATGATTTACTAACCCCACCCATATAAGATATGCCTGTAAATGTTTTCAAAATATGGCTATAAGCCTGTATGAGAGCAACTTACATTTTTGTAGATAGATATAGGCATTGCCATAGTCCAATGTCCTGTGGAACAACAAGGCGCGCTTTGCCGGGTAAGTCCTCATGGATACCGCTGTGCCACAGGTGACACTGCTCTGCTGAATCTGGAAGCCGGCTGTGTGTGTGTGTGTGTGTGTGTGAAGGATCCAGGAGAGAGGGCTGGAATGCTCAGGAGCCAGGTGTTAGACGTGATGACATCACTGGACGAGCTGAAACTCGGTTCCGAATGTGCGCATTGGCGATGGCTGCTGGGGGGTAGCAATCTGCTTGAGTACCCACAGAGAGGGCTCTGTGTGCCAGATGTGACACGCGTGCCATAGGTTCGCCATCGCTGTCTTAGGGGAACATGCAAGGAAAATAAAAAAAACAGCATTTTTGCTTGCACATAATTGGATACAAGAAATCAGCAGACCTTTGCCTCATTTCAGAACTTCTCTTCGGGTCAAAGCAACTGCACTTGCGGTGCACAGTATATTTACCTTTAGTAAATTATTACTATTATTATACATGATTTATATAGCGCCGACAGTTTGCTCAGCGCTTTACATTATGGTGGGAGACAGTACACGAGACAGTACAGTAACAATACAATTCAATACAAGAGGGGTTTGAGGGCCCTGCTCCTTGGAACTTACAATTTAGGAGGGAGGGGATAGTGGTACAGGAGGAAATAGCTGTGGGCGATGGAGTGGTTGGAAGAGTAGAGGAGTTCAGTATCAACCCCATAATGTGCTATTGCAATCTACTTGTAGGACACAATCATGTGTCCCCAACTATGCTCTAGGGATTAAAGTGCACTAGTAACCTGTACCCAAATTAAGGCTAAATGCTCAGTCATTGGCTGTAGAAAGAGTGGTTGTTATTTCTTCCAAATATTCTTCCATATCCACAAAGGAATAATCATAGACCATATCATCAATACTCAAAAATAACTATGATAGTGGTCAAGGTTATTACAATAGTGATCCCCCACAATAAAATTATGCTCAACAACACCAATCCCCTGATGCACAATACAGACAACAAGGTCATTTTTTAGGGGGAGGTACATCAATCATACGAGTAGAGGAAAACTAGGCGGAAAGAGGGTCAATAGACCCCAAGTAAAGGAGAATTTAGCAGTAATGGCATATTCAATCTGAGTCAAGCAGTTCTGATCACTAATAAACTTACACTCCTGAATTAAGGTTTAAAGTTTGCACCCAAAGCTAAACTGAATACATTTCAGACATATATAGATGTAGATAAATTTACCAGAAAATTGTCCTTGAAAAGGCATTTCCTTAGTAACCCCTTAGTGAGGGAAAATAACATTACTAGTGACATCAAATCCTCACATTTGAAAAAAGCTTTAACCCTCCCTCCCATTCCCATATTAACATCTTACGGGATATGGTCATTAAGGATCTGGAGACCCTAAAAATTAAAAATTGGAACAATCAACAACACATTAATACAGGGGTTACAACACTTGTAGATAACAAAGATTTGGTCATAAGTCCAGCTGACAAAGGTGGGGGAGTAGTGATTCAAGACAAGATAGACTATATGGCTGAAGTACATAGGATTTTAGACGATAAGGATACCTATAAACTTCTAAGAATCCATTAGTCTCCTTTAAAAAGGATCTTTAAAAAATTATAAAAAAGGGTATGAGGGGGACATTATAAACAAAAAAGAAAAGGATTTTCTATGTCCCTCAGCTCCAAAATTGTCCATTCTATATTGTTTGCCCAAAATACGTAAGGATTCAATACACCCCCCCGGTAGACCTATTGTCAGTGGCATAGGTTCTCTTTGTTCTAGAATAGGGGAATACATTGATTATTTTTTACAACCTCTTGTTACTTCTACACCAGTGTTTCTTAAGGACTCGAAACAAGTACTTGCAGATGTTAGAGATATCTCAGTGAACTCATCTACTTACCTAGTCACAGCTGATGTCGCCTCATTATATAGCGACATCAAGCATGCTGATGGCATGGTGGTTGTAAAATTTTATCCAAATGAAGCAGTTGACATTCCCCATCAGCAAAAGGACTATTTTCTGGAGCTTTTGGAATATGCCATGCAACACAACTATTTTTGGTTTGATAACAACTTTTATTTACAAGTTACAGGTGTTGCAATGGGGGCTAAGTTTGCGCCAAGCCTTACTACCGTATTTTTCGCTCCACAAGACGCACTTTTTTCCCCCAAAAAAAGGGGGAAAAATGTCAGTGCGTCTTATGGAGCGAATGTAAAGCGGCCGGTTCGGTATTTCTGCCGCCACCATGTCAGAATACCGGGGGCGGCCGCTCAGCTGTTCTCTCCTGCAGGGCCTTACCTGTTCCTCGCTCCAGCGCTGCACAGTCTTCCTGCGCTGGCTTCTGTGACAGCCGGGTGCCCACTGCGCATGTGCTGCGCTTTGTGAATGATCCGGTGTCTTCTGGGACACATGACAGGTCCCAGAAGGCGCCGGGCCATTCACAAAGCGCAGCGCTTCACATGCGCAGTGGGCACCCGGCTGTCACAGAAGCCGGCCCGGGAAGAAGAGCGAAGGACAACTCCACGGAAGTGGGAGCGGGTACCTGTCAAATTCAGGTACCCGCTCCCCCTCCCTCCCCAAAGGTCAGCAGTCTCTGGTCATTCCCTGCACTGTCTGCAGTCTCTGATCATTCCCTGCACTGTCTGCAGTCTCTGGTCATTCCCTGCACTGTCAGCAGTCTCTGGTCATTCCCTGCACTGTCTGCAGTCTCTGGTCATTCCCTGCACTGTCTGCAGTCTCTGGTCATTCCCTGCACTGTCTGCAGTCATTCTCACTGTCATCAGGTCCCTGCACTGTCTGCAGTCTCAGGTCATTCCCTGCACTGTCTGCAGTCTCTGGTCATTCCCTGCACTGTCCTGCAGTCTCTGGTCATTCCTGCACTGTCCGCAGTCTCTGGTCATTCCCTGCACTGTCTGCAGTCTCTGGTCATTCCCTGCACTGTCTGCAGTCTCTGGTCATTCCCTGCACTGTCTGCAGTCTCTGGTCATTCCCTGCACTGTGTCCGCAGTCTCTGGTCATTCCCTGCACTGTCTGCAGTCTCTGGTCATTCCCTGCACTGTGTCCGCAGTCTCTGGTCATCTCCTGCACTGTGTCCGCAGTCTCTGGTCATCTCCTGCACTGTATCCACAGTCTCTGGTCATCTCCTGCACTGTGTCCGCAGTCTCTGGTCATCTCCTGTACTGTGTCCGCAGTCTCTGGTCATCTCCTGTACTGTGTCCGCAGTCTCTGGTCATCTCCTGTACTGTGTCCGCAGTCTCTGGTCATCTCCTGTATTGTGTCCGCAGTCTCTGGTCATCTCCTGTATTGTGTCCGCAGTCTCTGGTCATCCCCTGTACTGTGTCTGCAGTCCATTGGTTCAGAATATTTTTTTTTCTTGTTTTTCGCCTCAAAAACCTAGGTGCGTCTTATGGTCAGGTGCGTCTTATGGAGCGAAAAATACGGTAATTTGTTCATGGCTAGATGGGAGGAGGATCTAATATATTCAATATATATTGGCCAGAGTTGATGTTTTATTGTTGATATGTAGATTACATTTTCCTCCTGTGGCAGGGGAGGTAATTTACTTTACTTAATTTTTTTAACACTCTAAACTCCAATGATCTTAATATCAAACTCAAGTACCAGTATGACTATGGTGAAATTAATTTCTTGGATCTTACCTTTATCAATGATGGCACTAGGGTTATCACTAAATCGAACATTTTTTTTTTTTAAGAACACAGACAGAAATAGCTATATACCCATGGACAGTTGCCATCATCCATCATGGTTAAATAACATACCTAAGGGACAATTCTTACGAATACGTAGGAACTGTGATAATCTGAATTATTTTTTTCTCCCAGGTGGAAATATTAAAAGACAGATTTGTTGAAAAGGGTATAACATATCCTCCCTGAATCAAGACATAGAGATAGATTTAGATAGAGCAGAACTCCTCACATCTGGAAATAGAGACAAGCTGTCAAGGATCCGGATATGACCAGAGATGTGTGGACTGACACAGGGAATAGCAGACTTCAGGAGTGATGTAATAATATAATGTATTAAGAGCTACACAAGTATACAAAAACGCACAGTGCAAACAAAAACCAAACCTTCAACTAATATCTATATGTTCAGAAACACAGGCGTAGTCAGGGCTAGAGAGGTAAGAGTGGTCAGGCAGGCCGGGTCAGGAACAATCGGGCAGATCTGGTACAGAGGGGTAGGCAAACAGATAGTCAAAAAGGAGAGCTGGGTCGGTGCAGGCAAAGTTCAATCGTGGTCAGAATCGAGCAGGAGAATCAAGCAGGTAGATGACAGGATACAGGTAGAGGACAACAAGGGCTCATGGGAAACAAACACCAAGGCACTGATTGCAGGCCTGGTTACTGCTTAAATACATCTCCTGCAATCAGCCTCAGGTGATGGCTTGATTGCAGGAGTGAGATCCTGGCTGCTGAAAAGCACTCGCTGGTAAGAACTGGTACTGCAGCCCATAGAGCAGGTGAGCCCCAGCACCACCAGCGGCGAGTCCTTACCTGACACAAGCTCACGCGTTTTTGTCTTTTCACAACTTATTTTTCTGTACAGTATAAAGAGGTTACTAGAAACCTCAGAAAAAACTGGGGAGTTTTAAAAAACGATCCTGTCTTGGGTACCGGTTTGCCTGATAAACCTGAGTTCCCTTTTCGTAGAGCTCCCTCTTTGAGACACAAAATAGCACCCAATATCATAAATCCACCGGCTAATATTTATTTTTCTTTTGAGATGAAAGACTTCTATCCCTGTAACAAGTGCGTCATTTGCAAGTGTAATGGTATTTGGAAGAAAATGATTAACAATTTCACATCGAATGTCACAGGCAAACTTTATAACATAGACTCCCTTATCACATGCAATAGTACGCACGTAGTTTACCTACTTGAATGTCCATGCAAGCAACAATATATTGGTGGAACAACTAGAAGGTTAAGGGACAGACTTAGGGAACATGTCTATAATATCAAAATAGGACTTAAAGAACACTCCCTATCAAAACATTTTAGACATTATCATCATAGAGATTCGCCCACATTGGAGAGGTAATCATAAATGACGGGCAGTGTCACTGCTTGAAACAAAATGGATTTTTGAGATGCAAACCCTGTCACCTCATGGGCATAATATTGATAGTGACATAAATTGTTTCATAGATAACAGCTGATTATATCGAATTTTATATGCATTTTTGAGTCATGGTTCACATTTTTTCTGTTGAACATATACACACATATATATATATATATATATATATATTTATTCTCTACCCCCCTTTTTGTTCTTTTATTAATAATTTATAATCACCTAATGAGGCCTAGGGCTCATTTTATATTCATTCCCATTTTCATGCCTTTTTATTTGCCATATATTGATGGACACAACGTATCATTTATTCTGGATTTGTTTTTAAAAATCGTTTCTCCATTTCAATTTTGTTTTTAATTTTAATGTTTTAGAATATATTTGGTCAATGGTACATATTTTTATTATTAATATACTTATAGTTTTATATAGGTCCATACAACTGTGTTATACATAGGTTTTGTCAATTTTATATTATATTTACGCCACAATGATTATATATAATTTTATATTTTGCGTTTGTATTTATATTGTTTGGAATATTACTATTAACCATTAGGGGACCACCCGCAATACATATACTGCTACAAGGCGGCCCCTGTGCGCAGGATCACGTATATAAACGCCCTACCCGCGGCACAGATGGAGGCAGCGGGTGTCAATCACTGGGTCCTGGCGATTGCCGGCAAACACTGATGGGGAGGAAGGCTGCATTGTTTTGAATGGAGCTTTCCTCCCTGTCAGCTTTCAGCACACTGTTCCGGGATCGCTGAGCTCAGCTTTATGGAGCAGTGTGTAACAGATGTAAACACCCCCCACCCCCTAGTAAAACACTCCCCTCACACAGTTAACCCTTTGTCTCTAAAAGTTAACCCCTTCCTCCCCAGTGCCATTAGTACAGTGTCAGTGTTCTTTTTTTGCACTGATCACTGTATTGGTGTCACTGGGGATGTCAGTGACCCCAAGTCAGTTCCCCCCAGTGTCAGAATGTCCGCTGCAGACCCGCCATAAGTCATTGATTGCCACCATAAATCGCTGATCGACACTATTATTAGTACATCCTGGTCTTTCACATACCTCTTAGATTGTAAGCTCCCAGAATCAGGCCCTCCTAACCATCTTGTATTGAACTGTATTGTTGCTGTATTGTCTCCCGTTATATTGTAAAGCGCTGAGCAAGCTGTTGGCGCTGTATAAATCCTGCATAATAATAATAATACCAGCACTGCAGTATGACTTGGTGATGTGGTGAGTCCCATAAGTGTAGTACAAGCTGGTGCGGTGGTGAGCACAAGTATTGTCCCGCAAAGCACCAAGAATTCCACACCAACAAGACTTCGCACACAGGCCCTTAGAGCCCCGAGTATCCTTCCGGATGTGCTTGCAAATCCCGATTAGCAACCCACAAATTCTGCAGAACCCGTACTTCCCCCATTCACTGCCCAACACGGAATTCAGGTGGAAATAGCAAATTTAACTCCTCCTCTTGATTTTTTGGAGCTGTTTTTCACGGAAGATCTGTATGCATTGATGGTGGATCAAAGCATTTTACATGCACAACAACTTATCGCCGCCAACCCAAATTCAAACCTTGCCAGACCAGTCACATGGAATCTAGTTACGAGTTCTGAATTTATATTTTTTTGGGGTCTAACCCTCAACATGGGCATTACTAAAAAAAAATGAATTACGGATGTATTGATCCTCAGATCCGATTCATCATATGCCCGTGTTCTATGCTGCCATGGCCAGGCATAGATATGAGAGTATTATGTGTTTTATGCATTTCAACAACAATACACTCTGTCGTCCTCGAGGTGACTGTGAATTTGACCGGCTCCACAAAATTCAGCCCCTCGTAAATCACCTTAACCAAAAATTTGCAGATGTCTATACTCCCCAGCAAAACATCTGCGTTGATGAGTCCCTCATTAATTTTTCTGGCCACCTTGCATTCAAACAATTCCTCCCCAACAAGCGTGCCAGATATGGGGTCATGATGTAGAAGACCTGTGAGAGGGTAACAGGCTATATTTATAAATTTCAGATTTATGAGGGAATAGTCACTTGGAGCCCCTCAGATGCCCATACTACATGGGGAGTAGTTGCAAGATAGTTTGGGATTTGGTGTCCTTTTTGCATATTATACGTTGACAATTTTTATTCAAGCGTGCCACTATTTAGACATTTGAACAATCTTGGAACTGGCACATGTGGCAAAGTGTGACCTAATGTGTGCCCACCATCAGAAGTGGGTGGATGCAGGGCGGTATATTTTAATGGTGGGCACCGATCTTGGTTTGATTAGATAATGTAAGGGCAGAGGAGATATCTAGAGTCTGAAAGACCCCAGATTTCTCAAAAAAGAATATATGACAATGCCCATTGAAGTTATAGGGGATATTTGTATTCTCTGTGATAGCATTAAAAGTGATCAAAATAAAAATTAAAGAGACAGTGTAAAAATAATTAAAAAAAATCAAAATAACTTAAAAAAAAGTACCCTTGCACCTGCGTTCATCAGCATTGACCCTGTGCCAGTATGGAAACAGCAGTTGCACCATGCATGTGAGGTATTGCCATGAACATCAGATCAAGGGCAGTAATTCTAACACTAGACCTCCCCTGTAAATCTAAAATGGTAGCTTGTAAATGCTTTTAAAATGTTGACTATGGATATTAAAAATGTATGCAGTTTGTCGCCATTGCACGGGGCATGCACAGTTATAAAGCATGTCATGCTTGGTATCTATTTACTTGGCATATCATCATCTTTTATATTTTACCAAATAATTGGCCAATATATTGTGTTTTTGTGCATTAAAAGTAAAAAAAGTGTTTTTTTTTTTTTTTAAATTGCGTTTGAAAAATTGCTGTGAAAGTACTATATGACATAAAAAATTGCAGCACCCACCATTTTATTCACTAGGGTGTTTGCTTTAAAAAATATATAATGTTTGGGGTTTAAATTAATTTCCTAGCAAAAAATATTTTTCATGTCAACAAAAAGTGTCAGAAAAGGCTTGATCTTCAGGTGGTTAGAAGAGTGAGTGATG